TATTAATTATGTAGAGAATGTAACAAAAAATGTTTTTTAACTGTAATAGTAATAGTAATAAATTTCATACAACATTAATTCGTTGACTGTGCGTTTTATTTATCTATATATTATATGTATGTATGTATATATGTATGTATGTGTATTATGTGTGTTCCCAAAAAAATACCAATCTTTATCTCAAAATAAGGATAAAAATAAATAAAAAATTTACAAAAATTTATAACTATATATATATATATAAAATGCATTTTTTGCATATCGTATTATTCTATAGTAGTAAGTAGATCTTAAGAATAAGAATAATTAGTTGCTCTATATTTAATTGAATTGACTTGCTAAAAATATATCTTTAATTTTTTTAAAAAAAAAACTTCAATTGTTCAAATAAAAAGAAATCTAATCGAATTTATTAAAGTGGTATTTTCCAAAATATCAATTTGTAATATCGTCATGTTCATTTTTAATATTATTGTATTTCATTCTTTTTGCAGGATTATCATCACTAATATCATTATTACCATCACTACTATTACTAGTACTATTGTCTTTTCCTATGGTAGACTGATTATTATTATTGCTATTATTATTAATATTTTCATTAACTTTTGAGTTCGTTGTAGTTGTTGTTGTATCATTATTTAATTTATCTGTTATTGATGTTATTGATGATCCTGATGTTGATGATGTTGATGATGATGTTGTTGTTGTTGAAGGTGTAGCAGCAGCAGCTTCTTGTTCTCGCATAGCGGCTAATTTTTTCTTCTTTGAGATTTTTGCAAAGTCTATTCATATGTATATATATATATATAAATATATATTATATTTAATATAATTTATTAATTAAAACTTCAAAATTTTATTTTTCAATAAGATATAAAAAATATAAAAAACACATACGTAAACCACAAGCATTACATAATGTTCTTGCACCATCAGGACCCCTACGCCATTCGGGTGTTTCAGAAATGTCACAAGAATGACATCTACCAGGCGGAGCTGCTCGCTTCTGATCAAATAATGAAATAATGAAATAATGAATGAATTATTATTTATAATCATAATATTATAATCATAGTTATTATTAATATATACACATACATTTCTTTTTCTATATTTTAAACGAGATGATTGTGAAGCATTTCCATCAGTTATGATAGCTTTTTGTTTACGCATCAATTCACTATCGTTTTCATACTAAAGAATTCAATAATAAATGAATCAAATAAATGATTTTATTGTATATTATATATTTAATTATATTAGAGAAGAGATATTTACCTCGTTTCTAGCCTGGTTAAACTCGCTTTTTAAACCATTTAAAATATTTAAAATATCGATTGTTCTATTAATCATAAAAGTCAAATGATTTTCATCGACTGGTATACTATTATTACTATTACTACGATGATCGTAATTTATCCTAGCTTCACGATTTTGTGCAGCAAATTGAGCGATCTGGTTACAATGATCTACCCCCTTTTTTTTTTTTTTTTTTTTTTTTTTTTGATTAATTAAAAATATTTTAATTGAAAATTTTTTTTTAGTTAAACCATCAAATAAATAAATAATAAATAAATAAATAAATAAGTAAATAAATTTACCTTTCCCAATTTAAAGATTGATTGTCCTGCAGAATTTAAATAATAATTAGAATCATAGTTTAATGGTTGTTGTTCCAATAAATGTGGCTGATGTTGTGAAGAAGTGTTATGTGGTAGAGAAGGAGTTTTAGATTGTATTTGTTGCTGTTGTTGATGTTGATATGCTTGATATGGTTGCCTTGATTGCTGGTGATTTTGATGATGATATTGATTATAAGATTCAGAAGGCTGTTGTTGATAATAATAATTATTACTATTATGAGTGTTATTATCTTGACGATTATGATAGGGATGAATTATTTGTTGTTCGTATTGTTGTGGATGATTAGAATAATTATAGTTATTATCATGATTATTATGATTATTATTAAAACCATTATTTGAACCACTGGTCACTGTTGGATTATTTGGTGGTATATAGTTATTAGAAGATGGATTATGATGGTGATGATGATGATGGTGATGATTAATAAGAGGATTATTATTATCCTTGTTCATAACCCCATTACTAATTGGATGGTGATGATGATGATAATCATTTGATGGTTTATAACCGTTAATCCCATTACCAGATGAAGCATGATCATGAACATGAACATGAACATGATGTGGTAATAATTGCACAAGTTCTTGCGATTGTGATCGTGGCTGTGGTTGTTGTGGTGATGAAGGCGGCTTTTGAGAAAGTGTAGAAGAAGATCGTGGTGGCGGTGATGAAGATATTAATAGATGAGTTAATGAAGGAAGCGATAATGCTTCATTTGTGGGCTCTGAAATTCTATAAATTTCGAAAAATAAAAAATTTATTATTGTTATCATCATCATCATCATCATTGTTGTTGTTGTTGTTGTTGTTGTTGTTCTTTATAAATTAAAAAAAAATTTTTTTTTAGAAAAACACTTACGGTGGAGAGGGAAGACATTCTTCTTGATGATGATTAATTAATTTGTTTGTAGAAGCTGTAACCGTTGTTGTTTTTTGTAAAGAGTTAGAAGCGTCGGAAGTAGTAGTAGTAGCAGCAGCTGAGTGGGTGCTGTTGGTATTATTTAGAGATGTTGCCATTGTGTTTATTGCTGGTAATAATTTTCTTTGAGATGACGGCAAAGAAGGAGGAGAGCTTGTGACTGTTTCTTCGATGCTTGAATTTTTATTACAAATCGTGTTTAAATTCATAATTTAATTTTTGTCAGCTAATTAATTATCACAGGAAAATTACGAGAGTCGCAAGAGCAAAAGAGTAAAAATTTAATTGTAAAAAATTTAAAGAGAATATAAAATGTAATATAATAATAAATAATAAAATTTTTATTTTATTTCCAGAATGAAATTTAATTAATTGAATGAAAGCGAAAGATGGAAGAACTTATGAAAAGGGGAAAAATCCAAACAGATTACTACTATATATGTAATATTTTTTATTACAATAGAATACATATTTCGTAATAGGTCCAGAATAAAAAAATTAATTAATTAATTACCATTACATTGTTATGTTGATGATGTTTGTTGTTGGGTGATTATACCAAAGAATTTTTTCGGAGTTTTATAAAGATCAATATATGAAATAACTAAGATTAAGTTGTAGTAGTATATTGGTGGTATGTTAAAAATGCAAAGCAAATCATATAATTTTATAATTATTATAATTATGGAGTATTATATTATCCATATCAGGTAAAAAGATATGATTAGGACTGAGCCAATTTTGCTTAATGCATTTTATTTGTTTATTGTTACTCTACAGCTTTGTTTAATAATTTATCTCGCATTTTTCTTTCCAAGTATTGCCTCAATACGATTTTGCCATTAGATTGTTCCAGGCCCTCGATTGTTATTATTATTATTTTTATTATTTTCAGAATTTACGTTGTGTTTCATTCAAAAAAGCTGAGAAAGAGGGTCTAGCCTTTCCTTCTTTTTTCTGTTTTATCATTCATTATATATATGTCGTTGTTTATTATTATTATTTATTATTATTTATATTTTCGAAATCATCGTTCAATAATAATAATATCTCGATTAATACTAATTCACAATATCCACAATCATAAAATATAAGTGTTTTTGACTTTTAAATATTTTTTTATTTGTTTGCATTACGTTTGGTTTTCCACCTTGAGATCTTGGTAAAATGTTACTCTGTTATTCTTGGCAAAAATGCCTCAAATTATTTATATCAAAGAAAAAAAATTTTTTTTTCTTATGTACGTTATCACGATGATGGTTACACATACATACTTTAAAAAATTTAAGTTAATGGCAAAAATTTCTCACTCGCACAATTATTTATTTGTTAGGCTGGGCCGTCCGTGTGTTACCATGTTGTCAAAATTTGCTGATGATTAGACCATCATCATCAAGGAAGAATCAAATAAACAAAATAGGCATTTCATTAAGGTTGACTAGAAAATTGAAGAGTGGTTGTTTAATTAAAAATTATATTGTAAAAATATCCGTGATTGTACAATGATGTATTATTGATTGATTGATTGGATTTTTATATTCAAGATTATTCGATTCGATAGGAATCTACATCATTTTCTGCTTTGATTTTTAACATTATATTGGAGAAAAGCGCTAATAATTATATAAAAAATGTTATTATTATATTGGAGTCATTGCTTTTAATTAATAAAATGTATATTTAATATACACACATCTAACCTCGATTTATTTATATTATAAAGTACTTTAAACAATTGATTGCTGCGTCCGGCTTATAGAGTTTAGATGTGTATATTAATATTAAATTAAAATCAATTACTACTACCATTACGTCAATTTAACACATCAAAAAAACTAAATCTCTTTTTTTTATATTAAAGTAGTCCAATTACGACATTATCTTACAAGTAATGAGAATTCCAATTCAATTTTTTTATTACTATATAAAGATTATAAATGGCAAAATTTTTTTATTGTGTGTAACATAATTATCCCAAATCCAAAATGGTCATCTGGTCAAAAAAAAAATTGCATTCCATCTTTTAAATAAGAAACTCAAGTCTTTCTGTCCGTCGGTCAACAAAGACCATGAGATCCCTATCAACTATAATAATAGAATAGAATTACTAAATAAACAAGTAAATAACCTTTTTAATGAATGGAATGAATGATTTAGTAAATAAATAAATCTAGCCATTGCCTCATTAATATATCTTTTTTGGTAACTTCCACCTTCCCTATAAGAAGCTGAATATAAACTGAATACGTATGGAATTTATATATTTTCAGTAAATTCAATGCATTTTCTGCATGTTTCCAGCATGTGTTCGATCCGGAACTTTTACATACGTGAAAGGCACTTTTCACAGAAAAGATCGTGCATTTCTTTCTGTGTGCGGTAAAAGTTGAATCGAGTAATGATTTTTCCAAAAATTGTATTACTAACGGACTACTACTATTTATCGTATTTATTTATTATGTTTGACAATTCAATCAATTACTATTATTAAATTATTATATAAATAATGATTAATTTAAAATTCAACTTTTTTATGTGCCATTAGTAATCGATTGCATTTATGACAAAATTGGCTTCATTTAGTTGAAATTCGCTTATTTTGGAGCAATAATCAAGCTGAAGGTATGCAATAGTTGCGTTTGCATTAATTTAATTTGATTAAAATATTTATTTATTTATTTTATTATTGTTATTCTTAGCTTTACATCTAATATTTTATAATTGATGTGCTTGTCATTTACTAAAGTTAAATATTTCGGAAGGAAAGAAAGAGAGAATGCGTCTATCTATAGCAATGTACTGTATATAATACATAATAAGGAAATTAACTTTAAAACCGATTTGTGATAGTAAAAAATATTCTAATCGATTAGATGAAAAGACAATTGAACCAATATCTTATGATTATATTAAGTTAAATAATTTATATCGCAATAATAATGTTGTTGACGAAATGCCTTCAATGTTGCAAAACTAATTATGCCAAATTCACTAAAAAGTGGCGAGTGATTAAACTCTTGACTTTTTATGGGAAAAACGTCGACTAAAATAAAATCCTTGCCAAAGCTATATTTAACAATTTCAAACTAGAAAATTCTTGATTTTATTATTATATTATTATTATAATATATATATATCTACAAAGTTTCGAATTAGTAGCACATGATCTTGGTTTAAAAAAGTAATTATAGGGTAATAATAAGGAACTAATGTTGTGTGGTCCAAAGCCCTAGGCTTAAGGAAAGCCCGAGACCGAAGCTATCCGAAACTAGTACTGGTTTAGGGAAAAATTTAAAAATTTAGACCTTTCCCGAAACCTAAACTGTTGAAACCTAGTGTTACCAAAACCTAAAACACATACCAAAACTATAATTTTTCTAAAAATAATAATAATAATACTTTATATTGTTATTTTTAAAAAATTTTGATGATTTATCAACCGCAAATTAGTACAAATTTAGAAACTACTATCACTATTACTATTACTATCACTACGTATTACTATTACTAGCACCAGCACGTGTAACGTAACATCCGTAGATTTTTTGTCATCAACTTTAATTTCAAGCAAAGAAACTATTTTGGAATTATTATTATTATTATTGTTATGAGGAACTAGCTACCTTTAGTCAATGTTTTGATTACGTCAGGAATTTCATCATGTATTATTATTATTATTAAGTGTAGATCCTCTCAAAAAATGATTCTAAAACAGCCATTCCAAAGGGGTTTATTTTTCGTGTGATAATATTAAAAAATCAGCAAAGGATTTTCTAATCAGAAACCTAATTATTTAAATCGCAAGTTTGGGCGAAAATTAAAGAATGGAACATATTTATATTGAGGGTAAATGGCAGGTTAAATACCATGACATTTATTTTGTATATATCATTCATTCGTTGTATTTAAATTTTTTTTTAATTATTCTATTTATTATAGATTATGTATTTATTTTTTATGAAAGTTATTATACTTGTTTTTTAATAATTTAAGAAAAATATAGTAGGGAAGGTTGGAACAAAAAACGACCAAACAGAACAATCAAGTGAAATAAATGTATGGCGAGGGTTGTATGCTTTGTTTATATATGGCCATTCATTGTTCTTGTATAATGCTAAATCTTAGGTTTCTATCTTAGTGTGCAATTTTAAATTACTCAAAAAGACCAAAAATTGAAGGACTTGTCATAGGAGCAGTCTTTTTCAATTGAAATCGACTTGAAGAAGTAAACGCATGGCGAGGATTGCATAATTTATATATAGCCATTAATTATTTTCGCATAACGATAACCCTTAAATTTATATCTTACTGTGAAAGATCCGAAATTGAAGGACTTGTCATAGGAACAGCTTCTTTCAATTGAAAATAATTTTAGGTCGGATGAAATGCATGGCGAGGGTTATATAACCATTATTTGTGATATATATATATATTAGGTTTTTACATTTCCGTAAATTTAAAAGGACAAAAGGTGGTCTATAATAAAGTAATTTGATCCATTAAATCCATTAATATCATATTATAAAAAGCTTGCACAATACCTTTGGTAAATTTTCATTTACTTTATTATTATTCAATATTATAAAATACTTGCACAATTATTTACAATGATTTGATAATTCAAATGTAAAGTTTCATTAGTATAAAATATAGAAAAAGAAATGTATGTGTATATATTAATAATAACTATGATTATAATATTATGATTATAAATAATAATTCATTCATTATTTCATTATTTCATTATTTGATCAGAAGCGAGCAGCTCCGCCTGGTAGATGTCATTCTTGTGACATTTCTGAAACACCCGAATGGCGTAGGGGTCCTGATGGTGCAAGAACATTATGTAATGCTTGTGGTTTACGTATGTGTTTTTTATATTTTTTATATCTTATTGAAAAATAAAATTTTGAAGTTTTAATTAATAAATTATATTAAATATAATATATATTTATATATATATATATACATATGAATAGACTTTGCAAAAATCTCAAAGAAGAAAAAATTAGCCGCTATGCGAGAACAAGAAGCTGCTGCTGCTACACCTTCAACAACAACAACATCATCATCAACATCATCAACATCAGGATCATCAATAACATCAATAACAGATAAATTAAATAATGATACAACAACAACTACAACGAACTCAAAAGTTAATGAAAATATTAATAATAATAGCAATAATAATAATCAGTCTACCATA